CATTTTATTTCTACTCTACAAGAAACCCGCCCAAAACATAATGATAAAGGTTTCCTTGTAGGAAAAATTGATAATTATTGTAGGGTCTGCAAATATCTATGATGGAATCGGCCGATACTTGATGAAAATCCATAACTAACGTATTCTAAAAACACTTTATTGTTTGATTTTCACTAGATAGTTTTACAAAAACGCCACACGTGTTTCGCCATACAATGGCTTCTTCGGGCGTGTCTTAATTATCACACAATAAAGTGTTTTTAGAATACGTCTGCAAATATCATTTTTGACATAAAAATCATCATACACAAAAAGTATTTAGATTTTGATTTAAAATCCAAAAACGTAATTATAATAATAAATTTGGTACCCGGGCTTTTTCTGATTATAATTTCGTATTAATTTTCATGTAATATCTAGAGCCCCCCCCATGCCCCCTTCCCCACATGGTTACTGTATGCAGAACTTCCCATCCCACGCTCCTCCGGGGTGGTCCTGAACTTACTGATGGGCACTTCAGCAAGATTGACATCTGACCTCCTTCGGTCGAAAGTCAGCCTTAAGGTGCTTTTACTTTCTAATCTATTGTTTTGTTTTATCTTGGCTTTCTCAACTGATTTTTTAAATGGGGTCCCCAAAAACTAACCGGAGAATATTGTTTAAAAAGAGATCGCGGTCGAGTGATTCTCATTGAACCTGAAAAGGAAGTGTTTGTTATCTGTGATTCACTTGAGTAATTTGGGAAAAGTTTTCAATATTCTACGATATTGTGGCTAGACAATAAAAAAAATGTGAATTTTTTTCGGAGTGTGTCATATGTGGGGCTGATTATTGATAAAAATGGTATCCATAAAGCTCCTGAAGCGATAAGGGCGATTGAAAATATATCAGTGCCAAAAACGGTCTCACAACTCAAATCTTTTTTGGAGATGCTCACTTATTACAACAGATTCATACCGAGTATGCCCAATATTGTGAGTCCGTTGTACGAGTTTTTGAAAAAGAATGTAGTATGGCAATGGAATGAATGTTGCTAAGATGCATTCGAAAAAATTGAAATGGTTCTGCTTTCCGATACCTTTTTGGTTCATTTCAATGCAGCCCTCAAGTCTACGTTAACAGTTGATAGCAGTGCCTGCGGTTTGGAAGCGGTTCTGTCTCAGATTGGTGAGGACGGTGTGGAGCGCTCCGTGTGCTTTGCGTTTCGAACGTTGGCGGATGCAGAGAAGAGTTATTCACAGTTAGATAAGGAAGCACTAGCAACGGTATTCGGTGTCAAGCGTTTTTACCAGTATTTACATGGTCGGCATTTCATTTTACGCAGTGACAATCGTCCATTAGTTAGTATTTTTGGCCCAAAAAAGGGAATACCAACTATAGCAGCCAATCGTTTACAACGTTATGCTTATATCCTAAGTGGGTTTGACCACATGATTGAGTATGTCAGCGAACATTGGAGACTTCCTTTCTAGACTGCCGATTCTTGATGCTGTCAAAGATTCAAAAAGTTTTGATTTCGAAGAAGACATGAAAGATTTTGAAAATTCTCATATCAACTTGAATTATTTATCAAACACAAAATATTTACCTATTGATGTAACTAGAATTCGAAATGAAACCATTATGGATTCAGTATTATCACAAGTGGTGTCATACGTGGTGTCTCGAGGAAGTGAACACTTTTCATAATATACGTCTCGAAATTGGCATCGAAGAAGATGTTCTTCTTTGGGGGCACCGTGTTTTAGTTCCATCTTCTCTACGTAAAAAAAAATTAGTCGGACTGTATAGTGGACATTTTGATATCGTTAAGATGAAGTCACTTGTCTGATCTTATGTATGGTGGCCATCTCTCAATAAAGATATTGAAGGGATCCTGAAAAAATTTCAAGGATGTCAGTCGGCGCGTAGCGCCCCAGATAAAATGCCTTTGGCATCGTGGCCAATACCTGAGGAAATTTGGAAAAGAATTCATATAGACTTTCTAGGACCTTCGAAGAATATATACTTTTTGGTTTTTACAGATGCCTACTCTAAATGGCTAGAAGTGTTTCCGATGACGTCTATCACAAGCAAAGTGACCATTCAAAAATTGCGCGAACTTTTCTAGTGTTTTGAAATACCCACAATGTTAGTTTCAGATAATGGCCCTCAGCTGATTTCAGAAGAATTCATTACATTCACCAAAGTCAATGGCATAAATCATGTTATCACACCACCTTATAATCCATCTTCAAACGAACGGCCGAAAACTCTGTTAAAACAGTTCAAGAATTGAAAGAATTGTCCGATAATCAGCTGGTTGACGTAAACCTCTCGTTATGTAAATTTCTATTGCTATATAGAAACACTCCGCACAGATGTGATAGATGACTCATTGAGGAAAGCTTATTTAGTTGAATCGCAGGTTGCTAAAACAAACAATTATAAAGGAAAAAGAAAATGTAACTTCAAGATAGGACAGATTGTGTACGTTAGGGACTATCGAGAGAATAAACCCGTGTGGTGTACAGCTGAAATAGAAACATTTCTAGACAATAAAGTTTGCATTAATCAGATAAGATATTGTATTGTTTGTTCTTCGTCAATAGAAAGCCCTATCTCAAATGTATTAGATCATAAGAATTTTGCTCACTTCCCCTATGAACGCCCTAAGCGAAATGAGCCTGATAGGCCCTGTTACGACACATTTAAGGGATGAAGTGAGAAATGTAGTGTTCAATTGAAACTACGTTTTTCCACAAACACAACTGTATTGAACTGAAAAGGTAATAGGGACATGTCCAGTGAAATAGGCGCGCCTGAGGCCAGATATTCAGGTGTGCGCGCTGTTTACATGGTATTTTGACTATACTACATTACACACAGGATTTTTTTTTCTTATTTATTAATATTAACAAATTGATTGATAAATTAATCAATTTTATAATGGTGGTGGAATTTATATGGAAACATTTAATATCGATATTTATAATTCAGGATTTTCAGTAGCTAAGATTCCTACCTACCTAAGATTCTTGAGTTTACTAGTATATCAAAGTCACAATAAAATATATTCATGTATATTTTAATTACATAGCTTTCATTAATATTGTTGGAAATCTCGCCCTAAAGAAAATAACGCCGGCCGCAACTCGTAACCATGAACCAATTGTTAAAAGGGTCACAAAATATTACTACTGAAAAGTCATCTAATAGTCGAATATACTTCTTGAACCTATCATATTAAAATCAATCAACCTATCATAAATATATTTTTCAAACAAAGTGAAGCAAAACAATTGGTATATGAATATTACATTATAATGTTATATTATAACAATAGTCATAATCAACAACATAAATCATATTGGGCGTTATTCAGATCACATCATATCGCTACGCCTGTAGAACAGTAGATAAGGAACCCGAGTGCCCTGGGGCTTCAACACGTACTCATCCTGCACGGTCTTGACCGAGGAATCGTTGTACCGCAACCAACAGTTGTAGCCGACATGGAAGGCATCGGTTACGTAATGTCCCATGTCAGCCTCATCGCCGTCGTGGTACACGACGGCGAATAGCTTGTACTGCTTCTCTTCTGGAGAGTGTGATTTCGACGAATCCAGTATCGAATCAATATTCAAATCGAATTCATAGTCCAAATCTTTGACGATCTTAGTGCAACCGCCGTGGCTGAAATCGAAAAACTGCAAATGCAAGATAAGGACAACAGGAGGTTCGTGGAGTGCCACTTGCTCCCAAGCTTCGACCTGGCCATTACATTCCAATCTGTTTTTGGAGATGAATAGGTCGAGCGCTCCCCTGACACTCTGAACTGTTCCAACGTTGAGAGGCAGCGTGAGGAAAGGCTGGATATTTTCTGTGATGTGACCTCCGGCACGATGTATGCTCGACTTCAGTTTTCCCTCAAAGATGTCGCTTACCGGTGTACTGGCAAAATTGGTCCTTCTGTATACATATCCACTATTTTTTGATCCTTGAAGCTTCCACTCATCACTTGAATTATCGCCGGTAGCAGAGTCAACAGGAGGATTTCCCTCTTCAGAGCAACATTTAAACAACTCCATCATTTCGTCTTTTAGACCGTTCAAAAGAAAACTTAGAAACTCTTCCGCATCTTGCTGTCTACCTTCTATCCAGTCTGTCCGCATGCTATGCAACAATTTATGAATACACCTCGGGCTGAATGGGGTGCACGTTTTGATGATCACGGAAAGTTTACCCACTCCCCTATCTTGCCTCCTTATTTTGGAAGGCGAGCAGTCAAACTGCCTCACAAAACGACACATTCCGACTATAAATGGGATGGACTTTCTTCTTACGTTCGAAGGGATGTTTTCGCTCAGACAGTTTAGCATGTTGTAAAATGGTGGGCATGCGATCAGGGCTTGCAAAATCGCGTTCAAGTAACAATAATTGTTTCGATTAACCAGACCCCTTGGCTGAAAACTCACTGGCCTACTGTCGATCGTGTAAGTAGACAGAAACTCGTCCATCCTGTAATATTCAGAATCCACAACCTGGTCGAACGTTCTGGAGGAGTAAATGCGTTGTACTACTAGATTTTGCGACGGTTAGACTTCACTTCCACTATAACACTAATTCTTGTTCAAATTCCTATCCGTATTAAATAAATATATATCAATGTTATCTCCAGGACTAAGAGATGCAAACTAATATATGACATAGATGGTTGGTCACTTTATAGGCGAAACAGGTATATTCAGGTAATTATCGAGGTAACAAAATGAATTTTGACTATAGGTAGATTCAATACATTTAGTGGATTTATTGGTTATAATGCCAGAGGTAGGAATTCTACCTATCATCAAATTCATATTTACCTGTAACAATTAGTTTGATTACTATCTGCATGTAGAACGTTCATCAGTAGAACTTTGTACTGGAAATTCCGTCACAGGATACGATGAAAAGGAAGAAGATAAGGAAAACGATTTGAAGTTTCAAGAAAGTAATGGAGGCAATAGGAAGAATAGAGAAAGCCCAGAGAGAACTGGAGTATTGTGAAAAGCAAGGATAAGAAAAGTATGATAGAAAGAAAAGGATAAATAATAAAAGAGAAAGTAGTGGAAAAACAGGAGGATAGAGAAAGTTGAAACCAACGTAGCGATTTTGGACACAAGGACCAAGCTCTAGGGAGCACTTGTGAAACCAAAAGTACTGTTACTTCAGGTGTGGCAGTCTATTTATCCAAGGATCTAATAGTACCACCTAGAACTACGACTATATGTATGGCGAAACTGAAGAAAATCACCTCACTGTCAACGGATGATATAGTGATAGAGAGCGCAGAAGTAAGACAAGGACTTATGGTAGCCAGATCAGTATGTAAGGTAGCAAGAGAGATCCTCATCCAAATCATGAATATTTTACAAACGGACTTGTTAGTTCAACGAAAAACAGTCATAGCACGAGCCTATGAAGCGGACACAGAGCAAGCAAAGACAAACAAAGAAGTGAAAGAAATAAGAAGCGTGAGCAAGGTCGAGGAACAAACTATATTGCAACAGTTGAATTTAGACGATTCCACAGGAGAAAGAGATAAGAAATAGGGTCAACTAGTGAAAGAATACATTGATATTTTTAAAGCACCGAATCAGAAGATAACTTGTACGAGTGATATAAAGCATAGAATCATAACCGAAGACGTACCCCCTATTGCCAAACGTCCCTACAAGATACCATATCAACGTCAAAGTTTAATGAGAAAAGAGAATGTATCCCAGACATCACGTCAACAACTGTAGCAAAATCATTTGTTACACAAATAGTGACTATGCACGGAGCACCCAAACAATCATCAACCCACATGGGTTCCAAATTATTTGGAGAAATTTGTAGCTTATTGAATATACAAAAAATTAAATACTACACCTTATCATCCTTGTTGCAATGGTATGACAGAACGAATGCACAAAGACATGAAGCTAATGTTATCTCATTATATCCATGAAAAATAATCTGAACACCTGAATTTTATAATGATAGCTTATAGAAATCAAATTCACTGATCCACTAAAGTGAGCCCCTTTTATCTAATATTTGGAAGATATATGGATCTACCTCACCATCTCACAAGAAGTGGTAAAGTACGATATTGATGATATGACTCTAAGAATACTGAATAAGAATACAGAATGCTCACAAAACTGCCCGAGACATGTTAGAGAAGACAGCAGAGAAACAGAGGGTAAAGTATAATAAGAAGGCCAAAAACAAACAATTTAACATAGGCGACAGAGTATACCTTCAAGAACCTGCGCAAAAAGGCAAGACATTAGCTAAGAAATTTTATGCAAAGTGGTCAGGACCGTACCGAATATGTAAGAGATTAGGCCCAGTGAATTTCTTCATAAAATCCATTGGAGGAAATGCCGAGCATACCGTTGACGCAAATAGATTAAAGCCATATAAGGGCACTATTAATTATTCTAAGTCTGAAGAAGACTCTGAGCAGGAAGAAAGTGAGACAGAGCATAGTAAAATGGAAGAAAATAAGATAAATTATTAGTGGATAGACTACACCAGACATATAGGCAGACCTAATCTAAAAGAAACGCCAGAAAACCCAGAAGTAGCAAAAATCCTCAAAGATATTACGAAAAGAAATATTTCAGATCAATCCGATAGCGAAAGGGAACAGGAAAAAAATGATTATGAAGGCGAATCTGAAAGAGAAAGAGAAGAAAATTCTCACCTTTATAGTACCAGATCTCAGGGACCTGTACAAGAATACCCTTGGGTACGGAACCAAAGAATTTAAAAACTCAGCAGAAAGTATAACCATTCGACCGAATTTATCGGCAGGTCTTCAAAATAAACCGAATAAATTATTATAAACAGAACGCGTCCCGCGAATAAATAAACAGTGATGAACAGTTCAACAGAAAGACAATAGTCACTTAGAATTAAAGCGTATTTATATCACGAGGCGAAACCAAAAACGTTTTAGAACCGTTTTAGACGTGTCAAAGACAAGTGCAAAAAAAAGTGACCGAATTCAAGATGAACATTTTATTAGAAACCGTTCGTTTAATGAGTGACTCCAGTGACAAATAGTGGCTATTGCTTTTGACCACAAACGAGCTTTGTAAAGAACGCTCGGAATTACTGAAAAGTCCAAATGAGAACCCCTATTTAATTGGAACCAATTTATTGTATTGCCTGTTGTTCCATGAGGAACTAACCCGGTTAGGCATGCAGGGATGCCATTGTATTGGATGCAACCCTGGACAAAGGATGGAGGAACTACCACCCCCCAGAGTAGAGCCGACCCCGAACCAACCGGAGGAACCACTCCCGAACCAAGGTCCAGAACAGGCAACCAGGGTTTGTCTATGCAATTTCTGCAGGACCAACCAGCCAGCCAGAAGATATCGTCATCCCCTAGAAGACTTGGTCTTTCCTGAAGTTGCCAACCGTTACTGGCAAGAGCGCCCATATTCCCCATTAGACGCTCAGCGATCATTCGAGCTGAGACCTTCACCGCCCCCAGCAACTGCTAGCCCGTGGCCCCGTTCACCCTCGATCGAGATGTCCCCATCAACCAGCATAGCAGAAAATCTAGCCCCCAGAAGAAGATATTGGTTCCGTGAAATTAACGTAAGTGACTCTGAATAGTTATAAAAAAACCCAAGGGAATAATGGACCATATACTTAGAGTTGATATTTAGTTAGTTAAGAACTTTGTGGTATTAGACGTAAAATAGTTTCATATCATAGATATCATTAAATTTTAGACCTTTTTACATTGAGTTTTACCGTATCAATTTAGTATATAATCGTTGGCATATTGAGTATATGTTTTGACTAGGTCTGAAAAAAATAAATAAATTATTAAAAAAATCATTTTTTTTATTCAACTGAAAAGGAAAGGTATTTCTACTAGAAGGTATTTATGGATAGAATAAATGAAATTTTTTGTGTATAAGCGGAAACTAATAATTTTATAAAAACGAATGCATTTGAAGTTCAATAAGAAATAAGAATGTAATTTAGAAAAAATATATAGCCCTCAGCTGATAAATTCAAGAAAACCTATGTGGTGCTTCGAGTATGTAAATAAACCAAAAGTAGAATCCGGCTCTTAAAATGAACACACGACCTTGCACCAATATTTCCGTCAACACTTAGTAACTATTTGATAGATCAGCTTTTTTGTAGTACGCACCCCCTCGGAGGGGTGCGTCCGACGACCCTTATTTAGATAGGGAAAGTAGGTCGAGTGGCACCTTGTTTAAAAGATCTTTCGAATACCTTCACAACTCTGTTAAAAGAAAATTTGTGTAACGATTAGTTTTCGAGATAATTTGAAGTTAAAATTGCCATGTTAATAATACATTAGACAGACCACTCGGTAACTTGTATGCCTAAATAAAAAATTTTTCGAGCAGTTCTTATCAGTTTTTTGTTGAATGAAATCCCTTTTTTAAAATCAATACCCACTCCTCTTCTTCCAGTTTTCATTAGTACATCGTTCGATTGTTTTGTTTAAACGGGTCTTGTATTGTTATTTGTTTAAAAATGCCTTACACTACTGCTGAAAGGGTTTCAGTTTTTGCTTTATTTTTTGACAACGACCAAAATGCTAATAGAACATAAATTTTATTTAACGAGCAAAACCCTGGTAAACACCTAAGCAGAAATCACGTTCTGGATTTGGTCACAAAATTCAGGGAGACAGGTTCGGTTTTAAATAAGAAAAGAAATGTTCAGAGAAGGGTAGTGAATGACGATAATGCGATTGGAGTGATTGGTCAAGTCATCGCCAATCCCAGGTTAAGTACCAGAGGTTTATCAGCAATGGCCGGAATAAGCCATATGAGCGCATGGAGAATCCTTAAAATCCACAAATTCCATCCTTACAAAATTAAAATTGTTCATGAACTCAATGAGAATGATTTTGACCGAAGACAGGAGTTCTGTGAGGGCATGAGTGAGAGATTAATGCAAAATCCCGAGCTGCTTTATAACATCTGTTTTTCGGACGAAGCTCATTTTATTTAAATGATTGCGTGAACCGTCACAATTGCCGTTATTGGTCGGATGAAAACACAAGACAATACGCAGAAATACATACCCAACATCCCCAAAAGTTGAATGTCTGGGCCGGAATATTAGGCAATCATATTATAGGTCCATTTTTCATTGATGGAAATTTAACCGGTGATTCTTATTTACAACTTCTTGAAGAGGCAATACAGCCTCGTATAGTTGAAATGATTGAACAGGATCCAAGATGTCAAGATGAATTTATCCATTTTCAACAAGACGGTGCACCACACCATTATGTCCAGCAGGTTCGAAATTTTTTGAATAATCATTTTGAAGGACAATGGATTGGCAGAAGAGGTCCAATTGAATGGCCAGCACGATCACCAGATTTAACACCACTGGACTACTTTTTGTGAGGATATTTAAAGTCTAAAGTTTATGCCACACAGTCAGCCAATTTGGATGAATTATTTCGTAGAATTATTGATGAATGCCGAGCTATAACTCCTGAGATACTGAATAATGTAAGAGCAAAATTCGAAAAAAATCTTTATTGTTGCATGAAGCAAAATGGCGCACATTTTGAACATTTACTCTAAATTTCCTATGTGAGTTACCCTTATTAGGTGTTACTTTTTTTGTGTGCTTTAAAACCAATTATTGGGATTTATTAACCCTAAAAGAGTTTTTTAAACTTTTCTGTGTCATCAGTATTCACTCAGTATTCAAGGAAATCGGCGGGTTGTATTCGTTGTGTAGGTAAGTTTTTAGTACGATTTACTTTTTTATCAGAAGCATAAAATATCCACGTCAAAAGGCAACATTCATAAGGAGGTGTCACTCAATTTACCTAAAATGTAAGGGTGGTCAACCCCATCCCCCGAAAAAATCTCCTCGTAATAAACAAATAATTCTTCCTTTTTTACGAAATCAAATGGACACACGTATTAGCAGGTTGTCGTAAAAAGCAAAAATGTATTTTTTTTATAAAAGTTCTGAACGTAAATTGTACCTTAAAAACAATTTGATTTATTTTAAAGAGTTGAACTCAATATAAATACCTTTAAATCTTCAAATTATCTCAAAAACTAATCTTTACAAAACATGTCTTTTAACAGAGATGTAAAGGTATTCTAAAGACCTTTAAAACAAGGTGCCACTCGACCTACTTTCCCTGTCTAAATAAGGGTCGTCGGGCGCACCCCTCCGAGGGGGTGCGTACTACAAAAAATCTGATTAGTCTGAAAGGTGTCCCCCTTTAATTAGAAATCGACGTGTCCGAGCTTTTTTTTTTATCTTACTTTTTATATTCAAAAACAGATCTGTTAAGTTTTCGTTGTTACACATTATAAATGATAAGTGGTATGAGTTGAAACTTAGATTTTGGAAACAGTTGAATGACATGTCTAGAATTGAGTACGAAGGGATATATCAAAATTCTTATTGAAGTAAATTGATTTATTTTTATTCAATTGTAATTGTTAAACAACAGTCACAATTCTTTTCAAAGGAGGGACGATTGTACTAACCCCATAAATAATTTTGAAATGATCCATGAACTATTTGAGATCAAGATATAGTAATATTTGAATCAAATCGCGATGAAAATGTATATCAATAAATAAATATGAGTTTCCAAAATCAAAGTTAATATTCAATCAAAAGTGCACTCACCTAACCCTAGACATTCGAACCACGGAGCTCAGCAAGAAAGAAAATTAAATTATCAAATATTGAAAACTGAAACATGACTCAGTCAGAAGAGAGGGAAATTTCCACATATCCGATGTTGCTATAGTTCGACACGTGAAAGCCATTTCAACATATCTGATGTTGCAATAGTTCGAAACGTGGAAGGCCATGTAAAAGAAGGTCACATGAGTGTCCAGTTTTGGACCATAAACGACACGAGAAACTCGTTAAAATTAATGGGTATTGCACAATATACAGATGGCTCCTCATCAATTTCTTTGTGTATCATCCTGTTGCGAAATATCTATAAACAATTAGATATTGTGAGCCAGTGACCTTCTCACGTACACCAAGACATGAGTGGGGATAATTAGGTCAACTTTGATGGCAGAGAGAGAGATGTATAAATATCCCAATACCGTTCAGATCAGGGAGAATCAGACAAAGAGGGTTCAGAGAGTCAAATTCAGAGAGTCAGAACTAGATTAGATTCTAGATTCAGTTAAATAGCCATGTAGCTGTAAATAGTAAAAGGATAGATTTGAGTCCCAAGGAGAACCAATTGAATTTGTGTCCTCTTAGATTGTGCGTCAATGTAAACAATTAATATAGCCATATATATTAAACTACAAAAAATGTTTTCTATTCCTAACCAAGAGACACGTCTCACCCATATTTAAGATCTGTGCGACCTGCTGTATAAGGTTTAAATTTTGTTAAACTTATAAAATGACCGCTCGAAATAAGATCTATTCAACCATATATACAGCGGGATCGTCACATGGTCCCGACCATATCCCCATTCATAGCTGTCCATGAGTCTACCTCCGATTGTGCATTACCACCCCTTTTAAAGATATTCATAAAAGAGTCCTCTTGTCTCTCTTCTTCTTTATTTTCAGTTTCCTCTTCACTATCTCTCAGAGTCCTATTTAAATCCTCCCGGAGTTGCCCGATCCTCTCATTGGATTTATCCAGGATGTCTTTTACTGTACCTTTTCATAGACGCCCTGGCTTCTTGAATAACAGAGTAAATTAATTTTTTTCGTTTCTCTGGCGGTGTCCTATCCAGAGACTCCTTAGGTTTGAAAATATCCAACTCTCCAACATTATCTCCAAAACCCTTTCTCTTTTTGAAATCCATTCTGCAATCTTACATTGGATTTCATTCGAGAAATTATCCAAATTGCTCCAAGTATAAAGATATTATTTCATATAACAGGTCCTTGCATTCGATGAATTGGCGAAGGCGAACCTTCGCCAAATTAGTATACAGCGTGACTCACGGTCGGTAGTAGGTTAGATGTTTCTGGAAAACGCAAAGCATGATTTTTCTGAAAATTTCACCTCTCACATTTCCTTACCTGTTCTATCGATCTAAAATATTTTCGGCGTTGCCACTTGTTTCAAAAAGTCCTAGCAATTATATTTTTTTAAATGGAACACCCCGTATATTAATACATTTTTGGAATCGCTCTGGTATTTCAATACTTTTTTGTTAATAATGTCCTATACCTATCTCTATCTGTTTTCGAGATAAAAAATAAATTGTGCTAAATATGGTCCAAAACATAGCCTTAATTGAAATTAAGTACATNTAGCCCACAAAATCTTACTTTTTACCTAGAAATGACTGATTTTTGGTACAGTTGTTCCCTGGAAACTTTGAGCCATAGTTGAGGAAATTATTTTGTAACCTTACAAACTTCCTCTCGTTTATTGGTGTTGATTCAGGTTACATTTGGTTGAATTTTTTACACGTTCTGACAATGATTTGATCACTTTGTTCATGTGTATAATAAATAATTTCACAAGGACTTCGTTTGAATAATCGGTATTTGCTTTCATTTTGAAAGATGATTCGAAACACCGTCGATAACTCTTTGTAAATTACTTATAAAAGTAACCGAACTGCTATAAGCTTGATAATTCCACTGCTACCTAAATCCAAATTCTAAAAAAAAATGTTTCTAGAAGAAGCGAATTTGAGAAAACTTGACGATTTAGGTTTAGGGACATGATATATCATCTTGAAGAGTTTTTCACCATCTTTCAATTTACCGAGTAATATACAGGGGGTTTCACTTGAAAAAATGAACTTTTGACTTCTTTTATGCACAATGGAAATAATAGTAATTTTAGTACGCCCTGTATGATATGGAGTCGATTTCTTGGTGTTATTTGAATATTTCGAGTATGTCCAAACTAGCATCAAAATAAAAACTTTTCATGAATTGAGAATACTGATGTAATTAATTTCAATTAAGGCTCTGTTTTGGACCATATTTAGCACAATTTATTTTTTATCTCGAAAACAGATAGAAGTAGGTATAGAACATTATTAATAAAAAAGTATTGAAATACCAGAGCCATTCTAAAAATGTATTAATATACGGGGTGTTCCATTTAAAAAAGTAAAGTTGCTAGGACTTTTTGATGGAAGTGGCAACGCCGCAATGCTGAAAATATTTTAGGTCGATAGAACAGGTAAGGAAATGTGAGAGGTGAAATTTTCAGAAAAATCATGCTTTGCGTTTTCCAGAAACGTCTAACCTACCATCGACCGTGAGTCACGCTGTATAAAAATTTAACTGGCCCAAAAACCTTATCTCGTTTTTGTTCCGACAACAGATGAAATTTTATTTATCGAAGAACAATGTTTTTTAATTCCTGAATGCATGCATTCAATAAAAATACGAGAATTCTATTTTTCAAGTGTCCCTTTCACTAAGTATAGAAGAAATATTAATTTCATATTCTTCAGTAATGAGGAATATGAATGAAATATTCCTCATTTATTATAATATACACATTCACTTTTACTATACAAAAACACTTCAAACTACGATTTAATTCTATCAGCTCCCAAAACACGTCCGTCCTCGACGAAAGCAGAGAACGAAGACTGAGACGTTCCTTTTCACCAGCAAAAGAAGTTTATCGGGCTTGAAACCTCTCGAAATCTTCAAAAGCAAACTAAACTTCTCTGAAGAGGTGAAATAAATTGGTACTACCCTCGACAGGAAGCTAACATGGAACTCTCATCTTCAGAGTAGAGGAAAAAGAGCATACGTGGCTTATGAGCAATGTCGGAGGACAGTGGGACACACATGGGATCTTTCACCCTATGTGGTCACCTGGATCTACACTGCAATAAGACCTACGTTAACGTACGCAGCCATTGCATGGGAACCAAAAGTTCTACAAGCAACGGCCATCCAAAAATTATATCATATACAGTGATTGGCTTTTTAAACAGCACAGGAGCCATGAGAACAACACCAACCGCGGCAATGGAATCGATTACTGGTCTGACCTCTAAGTCTAAGGATTAAGTGGGGAATGGGAAAAAATACCAGCATGGTTCAAACAGAACTGGTTGGTATCTCAATCGCCACAAAAGAAATAACCAGGAAGAAATTTCTGGCAAAAACATAACAATCTGCAAGTCCTATTAGCCTTGAACAGACAACGTGCTACCTCAGGGCTAGTACTAGAGTGTCACCAAGATCTAGCCAAAGCCTCGGTAGATAATAACATTATCCTGAGGTGGCTTAAAGGGCACGACAGGAGTAAAGGTAATCGCATTGCCGACTCTTTAGCCAAGGAAGCGGCTCAATCCCTAAAGAGATGGGATGGAATCAAAGGATGCAGCCTTGCCAGGATCACCCTGGGCGACCTTGGGAAGCTGGCGCCGAAGAAATATCTGGCGATGACCAGGAAAAACCTACGCTTGACAGTAGGATTTCTGACTGACCACCGTCAACTGAGGAAACACCTCCATAATATGAGGCTGGTGGACACACCTCTATGCAGGATGTGTGAACAGGAAGATGAAACTGTCAGGCATGTCCTGTGCGAGTGCCTGGAGTTATCGTCAATAAGAGAGTGTATTCGGCGAGTCTTGGCCTACACCTGCCGATATAAAGGAGATGTCTCCTAACGACCTGTCCACCTTCCTGGAAAGGACAGGATGGACAATGACCTAGAAGGACAACTCCTCGGGAGGATGTACAATGGGTCACATGTACAGGGCCGTTGCCATGGGGGGTGATGGAGGGGGAGCCTGCTTTTTCAACTTGGAAAAAATTTGGGAAATTTCAAGCCGTGAAGATTGAAAAAAATAATAGTAAAATAATGTATAAAAATTAAAAAAATATGAATGGGATAAAAGAAAGGAAGGGGTAATAAGAAAAGGGAAAGAACCAGGAGAAGGTCGGGATTTCCCAACATGCATAACCTTTTGGGAAAGAAAGTTTTTGGCTTTCTACTACTCCATCTTGATACAAAAAAAGGTTGAAATACAAACTGACTAGAGAAAAGTATCTTCTGTATAATTCAGTGTTCATATAGAAGTATTTGTTTCGAAAGAATTTTTTTTTCTTTCGTGTAATTCAATGTTTATATGAAAGTAGCTGTTTCAGGAGGTCTTTCTTTCAGTTTGTGTCTGAAAAACACTTCTTTGCATAATCTACACATCCATGGATAGAGTAACTTATTTTCAAATTGATTACTTCCTTCCTTTCTTTGGAATATTCCCTCATCCTTTTTTTGTATCAAGATGAAGTAGTAGAAAGCCAAAAACTTTCTTTCCCAAAAATTAATCACTCCAAAAAATATAACCTCTTAAATGCATAACTTCTTTTCGCTGTTTTTTCGACTTGGAAAAGTTAGGAAATTTCGGGCCGTGAAGATAGAAAAAATAATAGTAGAAAACAATAAGCACAATATTATTCAAGTGTTGTTTCCTTTCATTTGTATTGAGTATTCCTATACATGGTGGATATGGTGGAAGATCAAGGACCTTGGTCCAACGTAGAATAATTCCCATTATTATTTTGATAATCACCAAAATTTATTTTTGTTTGTGCATACCCTAACGAGCATAAGCATTCAGCCAATCTTTGGATAGCTAAGTAAGAAAGCCGAGTAACTAATTAGTCGGCTTTCATTTTTTCGAAAGTTGGTAAATTTTGCTGGTGGGGTTGGGAAAATTTGGATTCTCTCTCCCTCCTGGTTTTTCTTTTCGCTACGGCCCTGCACATGTGGCCTAACTGCTCTGGACCTACACTCACCTTTCCTACTCTACAGATATCTGTTTAGAAAACAAGAAAATGTATAAAATTCCGAGCCTTTGTACGTTTCTACCCCCTGTGTTCATGATATCGTTAAAAATCTCCCTTTAAAGCATTTGTAATTATTAACATTTTCTATTTTAATAAAACAGATATCTGAAATAAAAAATTTTATTCATGAATCTTTTTATCTCTTAATAAACTTCTACTCATCTACTGTCGAAGATACTTCATCTTGGGGTGTGTTTCGTACCTTATGCTGGTCTTGCAAATTTTTTATTTGCATTTGTAGATCAGCATACTTCTTCTGAAGAACCTTTTCCCTTTCTATCTGCCTATTCACATCCTCCGTGAGAGACTGCAATAATAATAAAAAAAACACTTCAATACATTTCAAAAATGATATTTCATTACAATAATAACTAAGAGTCTAATAAAAATTCAACTGCTTTCTTTCTAATTTCCTTTTCCATCACGATTAACTCCTTCAACAAATACTATCATATGCACAGAAATACTCCCAAAATTGAAATAAAAGGTGAACCTGAAACTTCTTGTGTAGAATTAATCCAAAACAAGCAATCCATAAAGTGCTTCTTTTGGACGTCCAAAATTATTCGAAATTTGTGTAGTGAAACCTATTTTTGAAGGCAGAGACTAAAGTTACGCGGCTTCTTTGAATATTCTCCTAAACCAGTGTTCCTCTTTGTGGATGATTTCAGCTTGAGCCTACTTTATATTATGTTGATAAGCCCAAACATGCTCTGCTATTCCGGATTTGCTGGTTTCTCCTCGCTGTGTGTCTTTCTTGTGCCCAGCAACGCGAACTTTCAATGACCTCTTAGTTTCACCGATGTATGTTTCTCCGCACTCGTAGGGTATCCGGTAAATGCAATTCTTGGAGTCGCAGTCCGCGTTTGAGGGCCTGGTTTTCTGGTTCAGATACTGTCCTGCGTGAGTGGGTTTTCGATATACAGAGAACCGACACTAAATGGGAAACATCTGTATATCGAAAACCCACTCACACATGACAGTATCTGAACCAGAAATCCAACCACCATCGATCGACTAAGAGAGGAATCATCAAGACTCTACTAGACCGTGCCTTCGGGATCTGTAATACAAAGGAACGTCTCGAAAAAGAACTAGGCATCATCAAAAACGACCTTCAACGGAATGGTTACTCCAGACTGATGGTACAACAGGCTTTAGCTAGAACACAGCAAGAGCTTCACAGGGAAGAGAAGCCTCCACAACCAGTACTTGTACTTCCCTACATCAGAGGATTATCGGAAAGAATACGAAGGATTGGGGCCAAGTATAACATCAGAACCTGCTTCAGATCTGGGAACACTATCCGTAGCAGCCTCACAAAAACCAGGCACCCAAACGCAGACTGCGATTCCAAGAATTGCATTTACCGGATACCCTACGAGTGCGGAGAAACATACATCGGTGAAACTAAGAGGTCATTGAAAGTTCGCATTGCCGAGCATAAGAAAGACACACAGCGAGGAGAAACCAGCAAATCCGGAATAGCAGAGCATGTTTGGGTCATCAACATAATATCAAGTGGGCTCAAGCTGAAATCATACACAAAGAGGAACACTGGTTTAGGAGAAAATTCAAAGAAGCCGCGTATATGTTGTCCAACAACGCATTTAGTCAAGCTAGCGTAGAGATACGTAACATATGGAAACCTCTAATCAAGCGAAACACGACCAACTTCCGCCAAACGGTCAGCTTCCGCTAAAACCGATGAAGCGGAGAGAGGGAAGAGGGGATAGGTGAAAGCACTCGAATGACCTATAGATAGTCAGATCTCGGAGGAATGAGTCCAGTCATCACCCGAAGACGATTGTAGATACTAACAATCGAAACGTCGTGAAATCTTTCAATTTTTATTTTTCATTTTTGCTTATAATAATTTTTTAATTTTCAGCTTTTATTAATATTTCAATTTTTATTTTTGGGTTGTTGTTTGGTTTCATGTTATTTCTTTGTGATTTCAGTTTTTTTGTTCAAATAAAATTGTTATTTTTGGTTAATCTTTTTAATATTTTTTTAGGAATTTCAAATCAATTTATATTATATTAGACAATGGAGGTCCGAACTGATAAAATACAGCCTTAATCAATCTAATGAGTGATTTTTTACCTGGTATCTTTTTGCCAACACTGTTTTTGACAGATCACGCGTGAATCGTGTCTTGTGTCATTGTCAAATTTGTTCAGTTTGTTCTATAATTTACCCATGAATCGATTTACGAATGAACAACGCTTGCAAATTATTGAATTTTATTATGAAAATTAATGCTCGGTGAAAAAGGTGCATTGTGCACTTCTTCCAATTTATGGACAGTTTCCTCGGCCTACTGAGGGAGCTATTCGGAAACTTGTGACTAAATTTCGAACCCAGTTTACATTATTGGAAATTAGACCACTAACACACATAAGTAGAGTGAAGACCGAAGAAAATATTGCGTATGGACCATCTAAAGCGGAGCCGCGGACAACATTTGCATGAAATCATCTTCAAACATTAAAAAATATTGATCGTCCTATCGATTCCAATAAAGATTCCATCAATTTTCTCAAATGTTTTGTGTTGTTTTCAAAATCAAATCGTATGCCTACTAAAAAGTCATCCATTACATATAATGTAATGTAGAAATTCCCGAAAAAAAACAACGTTTTTTTGTTGACAGGAACCGTATCGTATGGGGAGACCCACCCTATATACAGGGTACTATATACATAAGTACGTTAAAATATTCAAGTGACGTCCGAAAATGCTTCGTTTCGGAGATACGGGGTGTTGAAATTGAATTTTTTTGTTCGCTTTTTAAAAATAACTCTTGCAAAAAATAAGTTATTTGCACGAAATTCGGTATCCGGGGTTTTTTAGACGTGGGAAATCATAATTTCGTATTAATTTTCATGTAAAATCTAGAGGGTGCTGCGTACTCTGTCATTATTTATTTCAAATTGCCCTAACTTTTCTGACAGTAAACTTTTGGTACTTTTCATGAAAAAACCTAACTCTCTCACCTTTTTCAAGTAAAAAAGGTACACCTCCTCAACAACGCTGGAGGTGATCGTTTTCGAGATATTTACAATTTCCTAAATCGATGCATATTACTTCATAGCCAAATTTGATTTCAATAATTTTTGTCACTCTCCGCCTGCAAATTAAGTTATTTAAATGAAGTAGGCTCGAATGCTGAAATGGCTGATATGGTTTTTGCATACGGCTTGGCTGACGGAAATTCAAGCGAGGCCAGACGCATCTATCAGGAAAGGTATCCCCAACGCGTGACTCCTTGTGCAGCGACATTTGCGAATCTTTTCCGGTGACTTTCCGAATCTGGAAGCTTTGAAACAAATTCTGCAGTAGGACGGCCACGGACTACAAGAACTGTAGAATTGGAGGAGGCGGTTCTCGAAGAAATTAGTGAACATCCAGAGACAAGTACATAAAAAATTAGTGAAACTTTCAATGTGAGTCACGTGACAGTTTACAGAATTTTAAAGGAACAGCAATTATATCCTTATCATATTCAGCGTGTCCAGGCACTTGCTACGTGATTTCCAACCACGTACCGAATTTGCTCAATGGCTTCAAAGAAAAGTCGAACAACATCCGCAAATTTTATCGAAAATCCTCTTCACAGATGAGGCTAATTTTTCAAGAAATTGTATCATGAACTTTCATAACAACCACATCTGGGCGGAAGATAACCCACATGCGATAACGCAAACTCATTTCCAAGACAGATTCTCTGTTAATGTATGGGTAGGCATAATTAGGGATTATTCAATTGGGTCCTATTTTCTCCCCTTACGTTTGAATGGAGATGCTTACCTACATTTTTTGGAACACGAGCTTCCCCAACTTATGGAATCACTCTTGGTTTATGCATGTAGACGGAGCATATCCCCAACGATGGATAGGAAGAGGAGACACTAAGCATTGGCCCCCGAGGTCACCGGACCTCAATCCCGTCGATTTTTTCTTTCGGGGACACCTAAAATCACTAGGTTATGCTAGCCCCATTGAAAACGAGGAAATGTTGAGGGATCGCATCATACCTTGCTGCGAAACGATAAGAAACACTCCGGGAATTTTTCAACGGGTGCGGAATTCTTTGATGAGGAGAGCAGAAGCTTGTATTACTGTTGGGGGGTCGTCACTTTGAACAGTTGTAATAGTTGTTTCGTTCAATTTTTATGTGTTTATTTTCCTAATAAATAACATAGTANCATAATTCTTAAATCTAATATCTAATAAAAATAATTTAGAAAGTCTTCTACATTATATGGTTCTACTTCAATGAGGAAGGATTTAACATTTGTTTTAAATTTGTTGATGTTGTTCAAGGTTTTAATGTTCTCTGGTAGTCTATTAAAAAGTCATATAAAGGCATTAGAGGGATGTTTTTCAGTTGCTACTAATCTATGTATTGGATAAGATATGTTACTACAATTACATGTTTGATAATTATGAAGGTCCACACACTTTGTAAAATTATTTTTATGTCTATACAGATATAGTACACATTCATAATATATAAATTGCATACACAGTAAGTATGTGATTTTTTTTTGAAAATTCCTCTACAGGTTTCTTGATATTTCATTTTAAATAAACATCTTATTGTTCTTTTCTGAATGGTAAATAAATGAATCATGTGACTGTTCGATCCCCAAAACATAATCCCAAATCTTGGTGATGCTTCAAAATTTGCAATATAAATAATTTTTAATGAGTAATCATTTAGATATTTACTTACTACTCTTAAACTGTAAGATAAGTTATTCAATTATATTGCTAAGTATGAAGTTTGATGAAAATAACTAAAATTGCAAAGCAACCAGCAACCTAGGACGGCTGTCTACGTTCCTAGGTAATACAGAGCGTTTCCGATGGCACAATTCAGCACCTCAGATCTCACTGCTGTCAAAGTTGAATGTCCAGTTGGGAAAGGCAAATATATGGCGTTGATAATCGCATCGGTGTTCCTCCCTTCAGATGCAGCCACCGACCAGAGAAATGGAGGTACTAGTGGACCACTGCCTCAACCAGAGAGTGGAGCTCATATAGGGTTGCGACTCAAACTCTCACCACGTGAGCTGGGGCAGCAAGGATATCAACGCCCGAGGTAAGTCACTATATGAATATATAATACAGAAAGATCTAACAATCTTGAACAGAGGCACAGAGCCAACATTTATTAATGCCCGTAGCCAAACATTAATAGATATCACGCTCACGACAGCCAAAATATCAAACAAAATCTAAGACTGGCAAGTCTTGGACCATATTTTTATATCAGACCACTGCTGGCTGATCTATACGGTAAGCCAGGATCTCAGGACTACTGTAAAATCCCGTGACCCGAAGAGGACGGATGTAGCTCTCTACAATCGACTCTTAAGAGGAGCTCTGCGGGAAACAGAGGTCCTGACTCCTGGCAACAATGAAGAACTGGAAAGGTACACAGTATCTATCCACAACAAAATAGACATTGCCTATAAGGAATCCTGTCCGATGAGGATGGTTCAAACGCATGGCACAACCAACACATGGTGGTGCCCTGAATTGGAACACCTC